TACCTCAAACCCTTTTTGGTCAAATATTTTCAGTGGTACTACCGAGAAACATTCGAGTGACCAGAAAAGCCAGCTACCCCCTGTTGTCCCGCCGCATATTTGTCCTCCTGAACCACAATATCCGCCAAGCAAGATTGGTGAATCAAAAGATGCGCCAAGTTGGTCCAAGTGGCCGCCACCAATACAGGATGTCAAAAAGACCACTTCACAGAGGTTGTCACGAGAAAATGTCGAAAACTATATGTTTAAGCATTTCTTCGACTACATCAAAAACTATGAAAAATTATTTGAGAAAAACTTTCCTTCTGCCATGAAGGTGTATCGCACTTATGTGGACGGGGTCATGGATTTCTACAATGACATGAAAGCTTATCTAAAGATATCACGCATTGCTAATAGTTCCCCGGTGGGTCTAAAAGCATTGAATCGTAAAGAATTGGAACTATACATGCAAATGCCTCGAGATATGATGAAGGTTGCTCCCGCTTTATTTGGAGCCGCGCTTCCGCTTGTCGGATACGTGGTGATGCCGTTGATGTAAGTCAAATGCCTTATTATTGTATGAATTCTAAATTCTCCTTGAACTTCGATTCAGCTTTGCGTTTCCACAGCAATGCCTTTGTTCACATTTCTGGACGTTACAACAAAGAGCGGAGTTTCAACAAATCGCGCTGCAAAAACGTCTTAAAAATAATAAGCTAGTTTTGAGAATATTGCAGTCGAAATTAAAGGATGTCAAAAAACACCAACATCACGATCAATTGCAACGTATTTTGGGCATGTTGGGTAGTGGTTTTCACCCCAGTGTCGAAGCATTGCTTGAGGTTAAGGACATTTTCGCTCAACCGCCATACGATTTACTATCTCTAACTAGGAAACAGATTGTAAGCAAGTCAAATTCACAGCACAATTGTGAACTTAAAAAGAAGGTACTACATATTGCATATATTTCCTTTCATTAGGGTCTGCTGTGTCAACTACATGGAGTTCCTACTCTCTTGTTCAAGCGTTTCCACTTATCGGAGCATGCATTTTTGGTACATCACATGGATTTGGCTATAGTACGCGAAGGTCACGTTCATAACATGCACCCCGATGGTATCCGTCGATCCTGCTATATTAGAGGTCTTAATCCCGTTAACCTGAGCACCGATGAAATGATATCATGGCTACGTAATTGGATAAAAATTTCTACATCGATTGAAGAACAACACATCAGCATGTTCCTGTACCTGCCAGTTCTATTAGGATACAATCACCCAAATAATTGGCACCTTATTTATGACAGTAGTTAAACAATTAGATCTAGGAAACCAGCAGTGATGTGTTATAAACCTAAAAAAAAAATCATAGAATTCAGTTTATTTACAAGCGGCAGAAATATGCTACAAAATGTGTGCTCCGCTTTTTGTTCATCTTTTACTAGCAAAGTATTCCCAGTTGTAAAATGAAACCAATTCAATAAGCAGGTCCATTAGTTTTATTCTAATAGAATGAAGTGTTCAAACCTTGGTTCAAGCATTTTCCGAAATTAATTAAAAATTATATTAATTAAAAAAAAGATAATCTGTAAATAATTTCAAAAGTCCTCTATTTCATGCAAGTAAACCATCCATCAACCGCATATTCAAATACAAAAATCAAAAGACGACGAAATAAGACAAAGAATCCTTTATTCCTAAAAAATAAGTTTATTTTCCTTTAAAAAGCAAGCAAAAAGAAACTGCGTTTATTTCTTGGGGGCACCCTTTTTCACGCCTTGTGCTTTCAATTCGCGAATGCGTTCGCGTTTGTCCTTCTTCAATTTGCGCTCTGTACCGTCAGACTTGGTACGCTTTTTCAATGTGTTGAAAGCAATAGTAAGCAACTTGTTACGTTGACGCTTGGCATAGCGCAGCTTGAAGCGATCGAAATCATTCAAATGTGAACGCTGCAAGTAAAACAAGGAACTTTAGCAAGATAGCAAAGAATTTAAATTTCTTAATAACTAGTCTTTTCAGAGTATTATAAATTAGCTTCATTATGTATCAGCCGGCAATTCCTATCAAGAACTTTCTTTATCATCATGCGAACTTGTGTGCATACAATATTTTGGTCGCTCGTTTGCACACGACTTTGAGGTTGTTCACACTTGCCTGGTTATGTTGTCATTGTTGTAGCGGCTACAACATCCTGGTTATCCAGTTATGCGGTTATAAATTTTATTCAGTTTACAATAAAATACACTACATAATAATTTTTAACCAAATAAACTAATGACCAGGCAAGTGTGAACACCCACATTCTATTTGAATTACCTTGCAAATGTTCTGTGATTTGGCTGACCATGGGCTAGCCTTCCATTGGGCTTTTAAGTCGCTGTCCTTCCAGGCCTTGCGCACAATACGTGTGGGAGCAGTGAAGGGGAATTTAATGCGGTATTTGGTCAAATGCAGATTATTCAATCTGTATGCCTGGCGTGGAACTCCAGTCAGTGGCCCATCAACAAGTACCTGAAAATTAAAAGATCCATATAAAATCCAGCAATAAAATGCGCAAAAACCGCCAATATGCTTTAATACGCTATCAGTTGTGGTTGTAAATAGCTTCAGATATGTATCAGTTGGCACTTCCTATCGTCAACCGTTTCATCACTAGCGTATCTTTGGTATATTGGCGAAATCATATTTCGTTCACTAACCCGTGTTTGGTCAATAACATCAACAATGGCCACCAGACGACCCTTCAAGGAGCCCGCTGAGCATTTGGCAATACGGCCAGTCTGTACAAACCTTTGGAAAGGCTGTAAAACA